TGGAAGGTTTGGAATGCACCAACAACTTCCTCCGAATACAGGTTTCCTCCACTATTGGGAAGTAGACCCTTGCTAGAAAAATGTTTTTGTAAGCAGAAATGGCATAAAGCAAAGAAACGCTTACCATTAATTTACATGGAAAAAATTTTGAGTGTTTCCAGACCCCAAAATAACCTCTCTTAGGCTTTTCTGATACCTCAGGACTCATCTTGCTAACAGATGCACGAAACAAATGGAAATAAAGCACAGATGCTTGTAGACACAGTTCAGAGCCTGGCAGCTGGAGGCTGAGGTGCTGAGTATAGTTCCGGGGGAGGAGTTAGGCAGGGGCATGCTGCCTCTGGGAAGGCTCCTGGCAAAACCAACACTGCACCTTATTTCTGCTTGTTACCTTTATTCATAAAAGTGAAGAATCCTCACATAATTTCACTCAGCAAAAACAGGTACTAATTTAGGTCTTTCACCAAGGTAGCTCACAGGGAAATTTTGAAAAGCAGGAAATGTGTAAAGGCAGAGCGTGCTCCTTCTCCCCGTCCGAGCTCAACTCCAGGCCTTCTGTTGAACCACATTCCCCACCCCATCCAACCCCACCAAACTTCAAGCCTAATTCATTGGCTTCCAGGGAAATGGCAGGGTGGGACAGAGGATGACAGCTCCAAAGGAAGCTGCCAAGCCTGCCCTGCCTCCAGAAGCCCATGGAAGGCATGATACAGAGAGGAGGAGGGCCAAGCTATTACTGGGTGGGAAGCTGGATTCTCTGTCCAGACCATCTGTGGGCACCTGTCCAAAGTTTTGTTGCTGGGACCTTCCTGAAGACTCTGAGGGCCTGGGGTGGGGGTGTATGTGGGAGGTGGTCAGTAGCTCTTTGAGGGGTAGAAATTTGGGGTGAAAGATTGAGCAAGGGTGACCAGCTGCCTAGGAGACACGCCTGGCTTAAGACAGGGGCTGGCTGCTGGGCTTCCAAAGAGTGTTGAGAGACCTGGCAGGAAGCTGCAAGCTTTCTTATTACAAGCTTTGAAAATTCCAGAACATTGCTTCTGCCATATTCTATTGGTCAAGCAAGCTACTAAGACCAACCCAGATCTTAAAGGAGGAGTAGGCATCTTTAATCTACCACACATCCCCATCTGCCAGAAAGCATAAGTGAGGCCCATAGTGGTACCTGACTGCTTCTAGATCATGCCATTACAGTATCAATTAGATAGTATATTCATTTTGTATTGCTGCTGTAATAAATTATCATTAACTTCGTGGCTTATGATAACACATTTCTTCTCATAGTTTGAGAAGTCGGAAGTCTGCAACACGTCTTATCAGTAAAAATCAAGGTTTCAGTAGATGATGTTTCTTTTGAAGCCTCTGAAGGAGAGAATTAGTTTTCTTGCCTTTGGCAACTTCTAGAGGCTGCCTGCACTCCTTGGCTCCGCCCTTCATCCTCCAACCTCTATTCTACCACCACACCTCCCCTCTGACTTTGACCCTTGTGATTAGACAGCGCCCATATGGATAATGCTGAATAGTTACTCCATCTCAAGATCTTTTTCTTTCTATTGCAAAAAAAAATTTATATTTAGATTTAGTCAGCTGAATTCAGTTTAGATGATCTCTCTTTCTCTCTCTCTCTCATTTAGAGAGGGAGAGAGGAAGGGGAGGGGCAGAGGGACAGAAAGAATCTTTTTTTTTTTAAAGATTTATTTATTTATGATAGACCTAGAGAGAGAGAGAGAGAGAGAGAGAGAGGCAGAGACACAGGAGGAGGGAGAAGCAGGCTCCATGCTGGGAGCCCGATGCAGGAATTGCGCCCTGCAATAGGACTCCAGGATTGCGCCCTGGGCCAAAGGCAGGCGCTAAACCGCTGAGCCACCCAGGGATTCCGAGAGAAAGAATCTTAAGCAGGCTCCATCCCTAGCATGGAGCCTTAGGTGGGGCTTGATCTGACAACCCTAAGAACATGATCTGGGCTGAAATCAAGAGTCAGATGCTTAACCAACAACAACCAGGTGCCCCAAGATGATCCCAATTTTGTTGGCAACATCCAAAGTGTCATAGTCAAAAGCCAGTCGGACATATGCCTTCTTCTCTCCATCAGGCCTGATCAGGGTGTTGACCTTGGTCATGTTGATGTCACAGAGCTTCTTCATAGCCTGTTTGATCTGGTGCTTGTTGGTCCATCTCAAGACCCTTAATCCTATGTGTAAGGGCCCTTCTACCATGTAAGGTAACATATTCACAGGTTCTGGGAATTAGGATGTGGATATTGAGGGCCTTTTATTCCATCTACTATAGATACCAAGTTTGACCTAGAACAGAGGCTCCTAGCTCATGAGGTGTTTTCCATGACAATAAGAGGATAGTGCTATATGACTCATGTATTGCTTCAAAAATGCAGCATAACTGATCAACCCCTAAACCTGAGGCCTTAAAACTAGATATGTTCATTTAGCTCACAAGCCTGTGGGTGATGGGTGGTTCTTCTCATCTTCCCTGCTCACATGTTTCTATGTTGGTGCTCATCAGCTGGGGAAACTGAGGCAAATCGGCTCCTTTCTGCATGTCTCATATCCCGCAGTGGGCCAACCCAGCTTATTTTCCTGCCAAAGGTCAAAGTGTAGGAACCCCAGGAGAAACATGTGAGTGCATTTAAAGGCTGACCCACATCTGCTAACAGCCTATCAGTCAGGGCAAGTCATATTGTTGGGGCCAGAGTCAGGGTAGGGAAGACATGCTAAGACTTCATGGCAAAGATGTAGATACCTGGAAGGGTGAAGGATTAGGACTCCGAATGTAGTTTCCTCTTTATATCAGGCCCCCTGTGATGTCAGTATTTCAGTTTCAGGTGCCAATGGGTGCTGAACTCACCACTGAGCATTTGCTATGGGCTTGCAAGGGCTGGCAATGTTGCAACTCTGTCTTCTTCAAAGGTTGCCAGGCCTGTTTATTTATCCCATCCCTTGAGCTCTTCTTACACTGTGGCTGAACTTCCACTGAGATGTAGGGTTTAATGATACCCTTGCCTCAGTGGGAGCCTGGGATTGCTCTGACCAATAGAACACAGCAGAAGTGGTATGATGTGATTTCCAAAGGAGGTCATAAAACAGGATTCAGCTTCTGCCTATCTCTGTCTCTCTGTTTCAAGATGGTTTTCCTTTGGAGCCCAACAACCATGTTGTAGGGAAGCCCAGGCCACATGGAGGGTTTGTTGGGAAACAACTAAGATCTTCCACCAACAGCCAGCACCTACTTGGCAGCCGCGTAAATAGGTCACCTTTGGAAGTGGATCCTTCAGTCCCAGTCAAACCTTTTGATCAAACTGCTTGAGAACTGAGCCAGAACTCCCCAGCCAAGCCACACCCAGATTCCTGATCCACAGAAACAATGAGAAATAATAAATGATGACTGTCACTAATATTTGAGATGTTTTGTTATGCAGCATTAGCTAACTAGTATGCACCTGTTCTTGAGGCTTAACACAAAATGAAAGTAAATATAGGCTGGGACCTTAAGGAACCTATAATCCCTAGGTAACCAAGTAGACATTAATGGAATCAACAGGAATATATGTGTTATTCTGTTTGGGCTTCGATAACAGAATACCATAGATGAGGTGGCTCATGAAGAACAGAAATGTATTTCTCACAGTTCTGGAGGCTGGAAAGTCCAACATCAAGTTACCAGAAGTTTTGGTGTCAGGAACCCACTTCCTGACTCATAGACAGCCCTCTTCTCTCTATGTCCTCACATGGCAGGAGGGGCAAGGCTGGTCCCTGGGGTTTCTTTCATAAATCTGTTCATGAGGACAGTATAAAGTGTTGGTTCACCTGTCAGAGGCCCCACATCCAAATAGCATCATGTTGGTGAGGATTTCAACATATGACTTTTAGGGGATCACAAACATTCAATCCCTAGCAATAGTGGAAGTATTTAATATAATCAGGGTATATGATGTTTGCTAAGAGGGAGGATGGGTCAGTGATCTGGTGACCATATTTTCCCAGCTCCAAATTGGGACAATTGACTAATGATAGCTCATTGTAGCTTGGGTTGGGAACAGAATATCTATATCAGGACTGATGGAAATAGTTTGTCCGAGAATTGTTCTGCCCTGCTGGGACCTGGCATGATTTGGAAGGGCTATCTGTGGTGTCAGCTCCTGTACAGGGGAATAAATGATCACCGTATGAATGTTTCCAGACCTTGCCTTCTCTCCTGCCTAGGAAAGATGGGCTTTACCCAGTCACCTGCTTCCCAACCCTCTCTCCAGAGTCTCTGGCTTTGCCAGACTGTGTACTATGGGCTTTTGTGCTGCAGAATCAGGAGGAGAGGAGAGAGAAGAGGGATGAGAAAGGGTGTGTGTGGCTACAGCTGGAAGAGGAGCTTGGGAAGTAGGAATTTGGAAGAGAAGAGGTAAGGGATCTGATTTGGTATGTAGAGAAATAAAAGAGAGAGGTAAAACAGGATTTAAGAAGGATAGTACTGATCCACTGCATCCTCTTCATAGTATTTGAGAATTTGCACAAACAGCTTGAGTTATTTTGAAACATGTATTGGTTGCCAGACTGAGTTGATTTGATGGCAACCGCCAGGAGAATGGGCCATGTGGGTGATGGCTAAGTGTTGCACTGTGATTTCAGAGCGGAGAGGAATGGGGTGTGGTTAGTTCTACGGGTAGGAGACAGTTGGGTCAGTGGCTGTGAGGGGAAGAGGCTGGAAGCCAAGGAAATGTTTGTTCCAGCGTGACTTATGACCTGGAGAATTTGGGCTGCCCGGGTCCAGCTGTGTCCAGATGTGTGAGCAGAACTCAGACTCAGAGCTTTTACAGGCCTGTTTGTGGCGTCACTGCCCACTCTGGCAGGAGCCTCCCCGCCCCCCCAGCAGCGCTAGGAGGGAGTGGTTTGGCCAGAGCTGCCCAACCTCTCCCAAAGGAGGGAGGGACCTGGGGCAGGAGGGAGAGGTGAAACTTTGCTGGGCCCCCATGAGGAACTCAGAAGTAAAGACAGGGAGGAAAAAGCCCTCTGGAGGGTGAGGAGGTGTCCATAAAGACCTGCCTCAGTTTCTGGAATTTCCCAAGGTATTGTGAATTTTCCAGGGTCAAGGACCCGTTCCTATTTGTTTGTTCCTCAGAACTAGCATGACGCCTGACAGGTTGTAATTGCTCAGTAAACAGTGTTGGAGGGTTAGAGAGAGAGAAGGAAGGAGGGAGGAGGACAGGAGGGAGAGGGGGAGGGGGGAAGGGAGGAGGAGGGGGCAGGGAGGGAAGGGGCGAAGCCAGAGATCCTGGTTTCAGTGCTAAGTTTCTTAAGTCCTCTTGTTCTCTCTGATCCAGCCATGCCCCCTCTCTCAGGTGAGCACTCGGCTGTTAGGAACCCACTTAGGATCCAACAGAGCTGGATTCGAATCCACACTCTACCACGTTACCCATGGGACCATAAGCAGATGACTGATGACTTGTGTAAGTTTCAGGCTCCTGTGAAAGAAGTCGGGGCTTTGCAGCAAGGTGGGGCAAAGGACATAAGGGTATCCAAGCCCCTGGCACCACCCCAGCTCAGGGGTCTCCCTTCCTTCTGGTGAGTAAACACAGCCCTTGTCCACATCTGGCAGCCATCTGACTGTTCCTTACACTCTGACATCTGCAAGCTGCCCTCCCGCTCTCTCCTGCTTATCTCTGGCTCCGAGTCCTCTTGACATCTTCCAGGCTCGGTTACTGCTCCCTGGCCCCTTTTCCTGTAGTGTTTCTCTAGCTCTGCTTTGCTCCCGTGGTAGAACTCTGCCAATGACCCTCCAGGAAGCTCGGGCCTGGGACATGACAGGCCAACAGAGCACCCCAAGATGAGCCCTCAGGATAGGAGTGTTCCCTTGGTGCCTTTGGAGGGTTAACTCTCATCTTCTAGCAACTTAACACAGTTTACTATGGGGGTGGGGGGGTGGATAAAATTAAAATAAAAAAAAAAACAACTAGATGCTCCTACATTCCAGAGCATTCCGGCTGTGTCTCAGACCCAGGTCAACTCCATCCTCATCCAGCTTTCCACTGCACCCTTACATCCCCAGGCTCAATGGCCTCTGAGTTGCCATCCCTTCTGACTCTGCCCTCCTGTGCTGCCTAGAGAGACAGTCAGCTGCAGGCAGAAGCCTTGTTTTCACTCCCATCGCCCCCGCCCCAAAGACGGGAGGATTACACAGGGCGCCCCAGCCCCCATGGGGGCATTTAGATTCAGTAGGTTTCTGTCTCTAAGATGAGCTGGAATACGCCCACCAGCAGAGAGCAGATCTGTGCCTGATTTGAAGGACAACACCAGGTCTGGGGTCCGGTGAAATTCTGACAATCCAGGTAAAGGTTGGTGGTCATGGTGGAGAGAGTTCAGGGGCCATGCCCTAGGCTGACCCCTATGCCAGGGCAGGAACAGCAGCACGCAGTGGGCAGTGGCACACAGGTTTCCGAGCCTTCTCCGTCAGTGGGACACAGAACCTCAGGAGAGAGTGAGATCAGGGCCTGCTTTCTGTCCACCATGGGGCACCAGTGCACCATCAGGAGGGCCCAGGGGCTGCCAGTGTGGCTCTGTCCAGGGTGAGCAGCGAGTGGCTTGGGGAGGAGCCGCTGCAAGATGCCCTGGCAAACCCTTGTCACATTCCAAAACGCAGAGGACCAAGAACCCCCGCTTGGCCTGAGGCATCTAGGGCTGGCATCCTGCCCAGTCATTTCCTGCCCTTAGTCCCTCCTTTCTCTGCTTCCTTTCTGCATCCTGGGGCCAAAGGTTGAACTGGAGCTTCCATCTTTCTTCCTTGCAGAGGAGCTGTGCTGGAGCTGGGGAGACTAGGGAAAGGGGTGGGTGTCAGCTAGAACTTTCCACCTCGTTTAATGGAAAGCCAGACACCTCTAAAATATGGACTGAGCACTCCCAAGTGCCCAGCCCCGAGCCAACCAGCCCCAGAATAAAGACATGAAGAAGCCTGATCTCTGCCTGCAAGAGCTGTCTGTCTAGAGGGAGGGCCCTTACGGAAGGGCCCTTAAAAGCCTCGTGGGCTGGGCACCTCAGAAGGATGGACACAGGAGCTGTCATGGAGGCTTCCAACCGCTGTACTCCACAGGCTGCACAACACTGGGAACCAGAGCAGCTTGTTCTTGGCCAGAGCCTAGCACAGAGCCGGGTCCACTGGAGGAGCTTAGTGCACATTGCATCGTGGAATAAATGAATGAATGAAATGAACCAATGAAATGAGGTGGTCTAAGAAGGCTTCCTAGAGGACAGGGAATCTAAATAGTGGGCAGGATTGGACCAGGCCAAGCAGAAGGGAATTTATCCTAGGTAGCCTTGTAAAGAAAGGCAGGAACAGGGACAGTCCACAGAAGGGTGGCTCTGGACAAGGGCAGGAGGAACAGCTGCTCCGTTACCCTCAGGACAAAGTGCAGTGTCCCTCCCAAGCCCCTCTGCTGGCTTTGCTAGCCACTTTACTGTCTCTGACCTCTGTCTCTGGCTGGTGTCTCTGTCTCTCCCTTCCAGCTGCAGTCCATGGAACAAGCCTCTTGCTCTCCCTCCTCCAGGCCTGAATCTTTCTCATGCCCCCTGGCAGGAAGACTCTCACCCTGCTCCTCCGTATGGGTGGTCTCTCCCCGCCAGAGGCCTCCCTTCCCAAGTCAGATCAGCCAGCCCTCCTAGTGTGGCCATGCGGCTCCACGCTTGCCCCATGCTCACACTCAACACAGACCCCCGCCCATGATCAAGTTGCCAAATCCCCCTGGAGACCTCCAGCTAAGGTCAGAGACAACTGACTAGGACTTCAGCAACACAGACTTCCCTGTCTGAGGCAGCTGCTATCCAGGGACCCCATGTGCCGCCGTCCTAACAGAGACTGTGTGTTCCAGATACTCCCGACCTTGACTCACGTGGATCTTCCCTTCTCATCTCTAAATGGCAGAGGCTGGGCTGAAGTAGCCTTGGCTTTCAAAGCTTTCCTATAAAGCAATAACGATTTCCGATCACTCCTGGCAAACAGCCTTTGTGGCGGTGGATTTCTCATTAGCCTGTAAGCTCCTCGGAGCTGGAGGTCAAGGCTCTCTCTCCCTTTAAGTGTCACGCCAGACACACAGTAGGCTTAATAAATAATTGGTTATTTATTTGGTTAATTAACTGATCGCACCCTCTGAAAGAAGCTATCATCAAAATTTCCAAGCTCGGTTCTCAATTTTGAATGGGCTGCAGGCAGGGTACCCATACCTAGAGTGTATGCACAGAATAGAACATACTACCACAAGTGGGAATAAGAAAGCTATTCCTGGGGCACCTGGGTGGCTCAGTCAGTTAAGTGTCTGACTCTTGTTTCAGCTCAGGTCATGACCTCATGGGGCGTGGGAACAAGTCCTGTGTCAGGCTCTGCACTCAGTGGGGAGTCTGCTTGAGGTTCTCCCTCTCCCTCTCCCTCTGTCCCTCCTCCCTCCAAAATAAATAAATAAATCTTAAAAAGAAAAAAAAAGGAAAGCTATGGCATTCAATGGGACACAGGTTCCCAACAGAATAAGCTTAGCTTTGGAAAAGGTTTTAGAGAGCACCTAGGCCAAGCCCTCACCTTATATGACCGGAAACTGAGATTAGAGTATGGAAATTATTTGTCCAAGGTCACAAGGCATCTTGCACCTTTTGCACATCAGATCCGCATGTGTGACCTTGGTCCTTGAGGAGCAGTGGTCTCTTCACTATGGCGGGCTGCCTTCTTCAACTACCACTAAGCCTCCTCCAAAGCCTTTTCCAAATGTAGCCTGGTAGAAGGATCATGGGCACTGGTGAGCTGCTGTTTGGCCTTGTACGGCTCTCTAACTACTCTCCTGCAGAAGAGAGATCAGGCACTGCCCAGAGGCCAGCATGTGAATTCTCAGTGAGATGATGTTGGCAGATCCAGGAGCCCTCGGTCAACATCGACTCTGTCTTCTTTCTCCCAGTTATTGGGAATTGTTCTTGCTTCTCTGCCCTTTCCCTGGTCCAAGAAAATCATAAAGGCTACTTAGACAGGCTTCTGGGGGTCTTGTGGGCCACTCTCTAAAACAGCCCGTCCACCCCCGAGCTCCTGAGGAAGGCACCTCACCGTGGAACTCATGGCAGCAGATGCAGGCAGGTGGGACTCGCCCGTGCCTGGGATCTAACCCGACACTTCTTGCTGCAGTTTGGGGATGAAGCCATCTTCCTTAGTTTGCACTCCAGAAGGAAGCAAAAAGCTCCTTTTTCCTTCCTCCTTCCTTTTTCTATTCTGTGTGTGTATTCTTCTTTCCGTGTCCTAATTTATCCTCCTTTTTCCCTCCTGTTCCCCCAGGGCTACAGGAGCTACCCCCCACCACCTTCTCTGGCCTCCCTAGCCCTGTCCTTTGTCTTTAGATGGCCCCACATGATGTGTCCCACGCACAGCCCCCATCTGCAACATCCCACCCGGACCCAGGCATCTCGGCCACCCTCGGTGCCTGCTTCTGGCAGAGAGCTTATCTCTGTCCTCACACACAGCTCCTGTGGCAGGCGGTGTGGGCAGAGGGACACAGAACGACTCAAGTGAGTCTGCAGATGGAGTCACCCCAGCCCTCTCACCCAGCTGCCTGCTCCAGGAGAAGTGGAATCAAGGCCACCCGCTCGACGCCTAGGGCCTCTGTGCATTGCACAAGACCGGTGCTACTACGTTGCCTTGCCCAGGTCCTTCTCCCTGGGCTGCACTGGCCACTTTGCCAGAAAATTCCAGGGCAGGCCAAGGCAATCTGCCTGGAAAACAAACCCTATGCCGAGCCACCACAGGATGGGCCAAGGCGTTTTGGTTTAATCCCAAAACTCAGAGCACAGACAAAACCTCATAAATCAGGGGGGAATTTTTGGTTGTTCTTTTAGAGCAGCCCCGTCTTCTCTTGTGCTGGATGCCTCCCTGCTCCCTTTATCCTTCCCCTCTCCGCTCCCCTTCCTGGAGGTTGGGAGGGCAGGCGGAAGGGCTAGCAGGGAAGAGATGGGGTGATTTAGCAGGAGCCATGCCCCTGCTGGCTGTACCCCTTGATTTGCAGACTGACTAGAAGGCCTCACTGCTAATTCCAGTACTGACCATTGTGGGGAACAGCACGACCTTGGATTCTGGGAACGCGTTCCACCTTTGCCAAAGCGACTTCATTTCTGTGAGCCTGCACTCTCCCCCTGATAGCCCTGGGTGGTGGTTGGGGGAGGGGCAGTATTAGATCAGAGCGACTGGTGTCAGAGGTCACAGAGGTCAGCTGTGTCCAGGCTTGACTTCTTCCAAGCATGTGGACTCAGGAGGCCTCTGGCATTTGCCCTTTGCACCTGGGACCACCTCCCTGGAAAGCATGCCTTCTGTGGATATATAGGGCATTTCCAGAAGCTTCTACACACTGACCTCATATTGAGGTGCTTGGGAGCATGGGCTCCGGGTTCAAAAATCTGCCTCTGCCCCTGATGACTGTGGAGCCTTTGGCAAGTTATTTGGCTTCTCTGGGCCTGAGTTTCCTTGTGTGTGAAATAGAGGTAATGCTAGCACCACCTCACAGGGGGATTGATTATCATGGAAAACGTGCTAGGAGTGGCTTGTGGTG